TTGGTCTTGAAGTAACATTTTCTGCTCATGGTTGTCATGTGCAGGACCCACGGACAGGACAACTTCTTGGAACTGGTCGCAAGGTGGGGCGTTTGTTTGAGCTCAACTATCTGCATATTCCTGATAATAAAATGGATACACCATCATTTCCAAATGATCGATTCATCCAAACCCTGCTTTGTGCTATTGAATTAGAGTCTTTGCAAATTTCATATCAACAAATCTTCCAAGTCTGTGCTGCTACTAACATTTCTCCTCTCCATTTGTGGCACTCACGACTCGGACATACCTCTGTCGGTAAACTTCGTCCACTTATCTCTCGTTGTTTATTAGGATCAGTTCCGAATGGATCTATGCATTGTGTGTCATGTCAATCTGCAAAGCAACCAGCTTTATCTTTTTCGAGTAGTCATTCTCATTCTACTACTCCTTTTGATCTTGTGCATTCTGATGTTTGGGGTCCATCTTCTACACCCACCATGGGGGGTTCTAGGTACTTCGTGTTATTTATTGATGATCATACTCGTTTTACCTGAATATACCTTATGAAAAGTCGCTCTGAATTATCACAAATTTATATTGATTTTGCTACTGTGGTCAAAACCCAGTTCTCTAAAATTATCAAAGTTTTGAGAACTGACAATGCTACTGAATATCTTGATACTAAACTTCAATCTTTTTTTAAAGAACAGGGTACACTGCCACAACAATCTTGTCCTTATACTTCTGAACAAAATGGGCGAGCCGAACGCAAACACAGACACATCCTTGATTCTGTTCGTGCTCTGCTCATTTCATCCTCTTGTCCAGAGTGATTTTGGGGTGAGGTTGCTCTTACAGCTGCTTATCTTATTAATCGCATTCCATCATCAGTCCTTAATAACCAGTCTCCATATGAGCGTCTACATGGTATTCTTCCTGCTTATAATCTTCTTAAGGTTTTTGGTTGTGCATGTTTTGTTCTTCTTCCACCTGATGAACATAACAAGTTAGAACCTAGAGCTCGATTATGCTGTTTTTTGGGTTATGGGATTACACAAAAAGGATATCGTTGTTAGGATCCTGTGTCACAAAAACTCCGAGTTTCACGTCATGTTGTCTTTTGGGAACACACTATGTTCTCATCATTTTCAAACTTCAAAGTGTCATCCTTTCATCAACCTCCATTTTTTACTAATCCTTCTATTGAGCTATTTCCTAGTGATTCTAATCCAGGTACATCTGATGAGCTCTATAATGCCTCACCACATGCTCCAACCAGTTCTGTAGAAGATGATCTGCCTGCTGGTAATGCATTAGATAATTTTGAGCCTTCTTCTACTTCCTCGTCTACAAATGAGCTTGTTGTCCCATCCTCAAGTCATCCTACTCGGGTAAGAAAGCCTCCAAACTACTTTCGTGATTATCATTGTTTTCCTGCTATTACTTCGTTAAATGAGCCTCAATCCTATCAAGAGGCCTCTTCTAACCTTCTTTGGCAACAAGCTATGCAAGATGAATTACAAGCTCTTGAGAACACTCGTCATGGGATTTAGTTGATCTATTTGCTGAAAAATCTCTAATAGGCTGTAAATGGGTGTACAAGATCAAAATGCGACTTGATGGTTCTGTGGAGCGTTATAAGACACGCTTGGTTGCAAAGGGTTTTACACAGGAGTATGGAATCGACTAGGAAGAGATATTTGCTTCAGTTGCTCGTCTTACATCTGTGCGCAGTTTGCTTGCTATCGCTGCTATACGAAGATGGAAATTGTTTCAGATAGATGTGAAAAATGCTTTTCTTAATGGTGACTTAGAAGAAGAAGTTTATATGAAACCACCTCTTGGGCTCCACCATCCTCCAAACAAGGTATGTCGATTGCGCCAAGCATTATACAGGTTGAAGCAATCCCCTCGAGCCTGGTATGCAAAGTTTAGTGCTACTATGAGTGAGTTTGGTTTTACTTCCAGTCCACATGATACAGCTTTGTTCATTCGTAAGACTGCTCGGGGTATGGTTCTTTTACTTCTTTATGTTGATGACGTGATTATTACTGAAGATGATGTCGCAGGTGTTGAGGAGTTAAAACAATCTCTCAGTCAGAAATTTGAGATGAAAGATCTTGGTGTTCTGAGCTACTTTTTGGGGCTTGAAGTGACCTCTTCAGATGATGGCTACCTACTTTCTCAAATAAAGTATGCCTCCGATCTTGTTTCTAAAGCTGAACTCAATGA